ACAGGACATTCTATTATCTAGATATGGTTATTTGCAATCCTTTTAGGTGAGACTTTTTGAGATTATCTAGCTAGTTTTATCATCTACCGGTTCTAAGGTTTAATACTTTAGTGAACAAGATTAGTGAACAAACACCCAAACTTCAGTATGACTGAGGAATAAGCTTTAAACTCAAATGCGAAAACTCAAGACATTCTTAGATAAACTGTGCAGTAACCACATAATTACCCTCCACCTGAAACTCTGAGTCAATCCATTTTTTAAACATTCACGCAAAATCACTCGCCTCATACATCAAGTAAAACCTCAGAGCTTCTAATTTTAATATGCTCAAACCACCTTAACCACTTTCAGTCTTTTCATACTGAAGAGACAGAAATGTGTCCTAAACCTGTGCTCTCCAAAAGCCAGACGTGTGCGGTGAAACAGCACAGTGCAATTATGAGTCAATATCATGGGTGCTGTGAAGAGTATGTTGTGTGTTATAAGTGCCATCATTTTTCAGAACCGCCACAGATGGTTGTTTCTAGGAAGACTTGTCCTTGTAAAATGATCTCAGTCACGACAGACTAAGGCACAGACTACATAACCTTGAAGAACTGCATTTCTTCTTTCTAGCTGCATGCCTGATTTATTTTGTAGTTTGTTCAAAAAGCCTTGAAGCCAGACTGATTCATAGTTTTATTTTAAATCTCAGATCATTTTTGTTATGGTGACCTAGCTCACTAATTTGAAATAGCTGGGGAAAAAGCTTTAGATCTCTTTTATTTAAAAAAAAATCCTACATTTTGGTCGCGCTAAACTGTTCATTCACTGCCTGCCAAAGCTGGCCCAAACTATTCTTTCATGGTCTTAGAAGGATAGGTTGAAAATTAAATATAATAACAAAAACAACTGGAGATAACAACAACATTATCCATCTGGCAACAACATCAAAAACACAATGTAATGTCAATTGGCTACCTTGACGTCAAATAGACGTCAAGGTTTTGACATCAGATCAATATGCAGTTTTGACATGCTTTTTTTGCATTACGAGTGTTGTCAATATGATGTCGATTTGACATAAAGGTGCCCTCTGGATAGAAGATCATGCAGACAAGCACTTGTGTTAGGAGTGTTAAAGAGCCCCTATCATACATTAAAAAGGGTAATATTTCGGTTTTATGGGTCTCCAACAACATACTGATATGCATGGAAGATCAAAAAACACTTTCATGGTCTTATAATATGAATTTATTTTTACCTAATTATCCCAGTGACTTCCATATGAATCGTTCAGCGGTTCATTTGTTCCCAAACCCCTCCTTAGTGCAAAGCTAGTCTGCGCTGATTGGACCTATGACAGCCTGTCAAGCCCACGGGTCCCCAACATTGGTATTGTATCCGATCACAGCGAATGCCCGAAACACGCTTCATAGTAAACTTACTCAACAGTGTTATTCAGACACATTACCCCCAAAAACAGTTAAGTTAAACACCAACATATTAATGCTCCATTCTTAACATTAATAAACATTTAGTATTAATCCACACTACAGCAAAAGCTAAACTATTCTGAACCTTGACCGCTGCACGTGTGTAGGAACAGCTGATGTTGGCCATAGCAACGCCAATGCCAACGGCAATGGAACTTGAGCTTACAAACGCATTTAAATTCGTTAACAAAGTGGCACGCGTCACATTTTCAACTTGGTATTAGACGCGATATGATAATATAAAGACTTAACCTGATACAATGCATGCGGTTACAAGTAACAAAACACAATAATTAAATACATAATTTGCAAGCTAGAGAAAGCAGGGAGACAGCCTTTTACATACACTTATGAAATTGGTCTCGGGCCAGGTCTTATTTCAATAATTATCTTTCATTTTGGAGCTTTTCTCCCTTCTCAGCTATAACTTAGATCATTTCTATTTGCAATCATTGCTGTGGCACCTCTTGCGTGAAGTGTTATATATAAGACAATGGAAGGCAATTTTTCTAGGTTTGCGCTTGCAACAATTGGGCGGGGCTTATGTTTCGTAGCCACGTCACACCAAAACGGCTAAAGACTCATTATACAGATGAGTCATTCTAACCGCTATGAGTCCACTCTTTTTTAGATGAATCAATGTTTTTAAAAACTGTCCACTTTCAGATTTAAGCCCTAGCTGGATATTTCACTTCCCTTAGAGCTGTTACACACTACATGGAAGGTCATTTTCAAAATTCCACAATAGGGGCTCTTTAAGATATATGAGCTGTTTATCAGTCACAACATCCAGAGAGCAATGGTGAAACTTTTAGTACTTAATTTCATTAAGTACACTTAACTAATACATATAAGTGTATACTTAAGTTTATACAAAAGTTGATTGCTGTGTGATATTCTGCAATAGCAGAACTCATACAGCCTCTTTACTCTTGTGTATTGCTCTACTTCAGCATTGGCGAGAGCCACGGCAAGTGATATGCTATGCTATGCGACCACGCACATCATATACTACTGACATCTACATATTAGTTGTATAGTGGTTATTATACTTTTTGAATACTGCTTGAGAGTGAACAAACAGAATTGGCAAAACAAGTACAGGCCAAATATACTATGACATTTCTGTCAGGATAGCCAAATATAGTTAAGTGCAATATTAATTATACTTATGAAAAGTACCTAAAGTAAATTTCAGAGAGGTACATAAAAATTAGTCTGAAAGTATGCTCTTATTCTATAGTTTAAGTAATAGCACACTTGAATATACATATATATATATATATATATATATATATATATATATATATATATATATATATATATATATTTTTTTTTTTTTTTTTTTTTTTTTTAATTAACTTTTTTTGTGAGGAATTCATCCAAAATTGCAAAACCAAAATTATTTATTTTATTGTTTTGGAATTGTTAGTAAAATATATGCTATTGCAGTAGTTAAATGCAAATGTGAGTGAAGTTTAATATAAACTAATTTCGAGAAGATCACATGCTTATAATTGCTTGCGGCTGGTCCCCCATTATTCAATTTATGATTCACAAGCCACTATAAGTTCCATATAACAGCCATCTTTGTTTTGAAGAATCGCCCCTTCCATCCCTACTCCTCCTTTCTTTTTTTTTTAGATGGGTGGCACGGTGGCCCAGTGGTTAGCACTGTTGCCTCACAGCTAGAACGTCACTGGTTCAAGTCCTTACCAAGCCGGCCAACATTTCTCACGTTTTCCCTGTGCTCACGTGGGTTTCCCCCGGGTTCCCCAGTTTCCTTCCACCGTCCAAAAACATGCAAGTTAAGTTAATTGACTAATCAAAATCGACACCATAGACATGCTACCAGTAAGTAGTTATCTTTTAAAATCAATCACTATCTGTTCAATAGTTACTACAGCAAGGAAGTTCCCGAGATCTACCTGATCTCAAACTCCCCTCTAGCCCTGCAAATGGGAGGGAGCCCCGGGCTCGAGGATCTTATGTGCTCAGGGCTAAATATTAAATATTTTAAATAGTTTTTTTTATTAAATATAAAAAAGCTAAATATTGTTGTTCAATGCCATGCATCTAATCAAATTATATGAACCTAGTTATATTAAATATTGATTTGGCCACTCACTCTAAAAAAGCTTGTAGCCATGAAAGACTTTGCCTTCCATTGTCTTTGGTTCATATGCATGCAAACACAGAAGACCAGAATATATTTTTGCAATCTGCTTCGACCAAAAAAATGTAAAGCTTGGCCATCAGTAAACAACAGTGTTGGAGTGCATATTTGTTTTCATATTTAAACTGTTATTTGCTATGTGTGAATTATTAATCATTATTGACAGATGCTTAACATCATATCCAGTTCAGTGTGGCATCCACCGAAAATGTAGAATTTTAAAGTATTATATAACCATGACTTTATACAACTCTTGCTTTTTTTGCAGAGAAGTCAGAAAACAAACACTAAAAAACTATAATGACCAACTTGAACTAAAATTTATATTGAGCTTCCATCATATTATATTTTGCATATTCTTGAATGTATTCTAAGAAGCTGGTTTTTCATTCATCTAAAAACCTCGAAATGTGAGCCTACTGCCTCTTGGCCATCTCCATATGCCTACAGCTCAATGACCAAAATCATTGATGCAGTATGGTGTAAATGGGACTCTGTGGGGTTCCACAGGAAGTGACCGCCAGGCTAGGTATTTTCCTGGCTTGGGCAGTGTAACAGACGGTCCGTGTTGGCTCTGAAAACCAACCAATCTCCTGCAGCGGTACAAGAACAACATTGCTCAAAATACTGACAAACCAGTGACAGAACGCCACCACACATACAGTATGGGCAGGGTGCACAGGGACTAGGACAGAAGCTTAAATATTTTAGCTTTCAGATGAGTAAATGATGAATCAAATCAATTAAAAACTAGATTTACATTGAAAAAAGAACAAACTTGCAAGGTCCAAAAAATAAGTGTTTTAAATTTTGACTCTAACTGAAATCAGTGTCTGGATTTTTTCATTATGCTCACACATCTGGTTTTCTTCAAGCTGTTTACAAGAATCAACGCCTACCATGACACCATCTCTGAAGCGTAGGAACATTTAAAGATAGTTAAATTAACACAAGGTAAAAATACCAATCTTAAATTGCCAATGCAAATAAATGCAAGAAAGAAGAGCGATCACAATTCACTGTGCAAATACATGCAAAAAAAAACAGATGAACATTACACATAGTAGTATGCAGATATTCCAAGAATATAGTCACTCTGGATTTCATTTTGAACAACCACATGCTAAAGGACTTTAAACTTTAAGACTAAAGTTAGCAAATATACTGTTCACAAAAACAAAAAAGATAGAGATATAGTGTCTCTATGAATAAAAGAAAACAAAAAACTTAAAAAAAAAAAAGTAAAAAGTGACAAAGGTTTATTAATAAAGCACTGGAACTATACACTGTAACTGAGACTAAGCAATTTATGTTGTATTTGTAAAAATGTTATTAGCATGACTTACCCTCCCTCACAAATCTGTACCCGTGAGCTGCATTTGGAGGTAGATAACTGGTCTTCCTTCTCCTCCGTTGTTTTTGTTTCTACCTCCGTCAACTCAGCTTGCTGGGCTTCTTTCGGTTCTGTGAGCTGAGCGGCATGTACCTACACTCGAGAGAGACACGGGCAAGTTCACCAACCCTATTCCGGGTGCCCAGGGAGACAGAGATGAGGGGGGAAGTCTCATTCAACATTTTCCAGATAGCATTAAAACTGATTTACTTTACAATGTCTTGCCAAGTTTAATGACTTCCAAGAAAAAATGTAGAAATGACAATAAGCCAGACCTAGACAAAAATAAGCCCCCACTTTAATTACAACAGTGTCAACTAGCATATTAGTTATTCTCCCTGCTGAAAAAACACTTTCAAGTGGACAAGGTGGTTTGAGAACATGGCAGCAGAATAACCAGCTAGAAACCTTCTACTTTCTTCCAAGACACAAAAGCTTAACACTGGAACGACTAAGGTGGTCATTTTTTAATTTGGTCATTTCAACCATTTTTTAATTTGGTGATATAACTTTTCTTAAGTGCATATATATATATATATATATATATATATATATATATATATATATATATATATATATATATATATATATATGAGCAATATCACACGAGTAGCAGTGCGATATGGCTGTATTTCGGCACTGGTGGGAGGCGTGCGATGGCACGAGGCCGCACCAGTGCCGATATACAGCCATATCGCACTTATACGAGTGTGATATTACGTTTATACAACAGTTTGATGGCATAACTGTGAATATAAAAACAAAATCAAACACGGAGAGTTTCAAAAACCCTTTTGTATGTGCAACAACTTTCTTCCACATTGGATTCAAATCATAAACTGACAGTTAAAACAGTTGAGCAAGCATCTTTTAAACTTTAGATCTGTAGTGTCTGCTTTTTGCTGGCTGTATGTGGGCGGAGTAATACACAAAGGGTAAAGAGGCTGTAGGAGTTCTGATATTGCATAATATTGCACGGCTATCAGCCAATCAGATTTGAGAACCAGACAGAACTGTTGTATATATATATATATATATATATATATAAAACAGTTCTGTCGGGTTCTTAAATCTGATTGTCAGATAGTCATGCGATATTCTGCTGCACTCGTCCAGCCTCTTAACCCTTTACCCTTGTGTATTACTCAGCCTACATACACCGGCAAGCAGAGGACACTTTACAGTTTGACAAATATGCACAACATAATGTACTTTTGAGGCATTTTTAATCAAAAATGTAGTTGTTTAGATTGCAACTATGCAGTTTACTTATAAGGATAGTGCCTATTTTAAATCTTATAATTTCTGAGAGAAAGCACGTCGGCGGCCATCAGCCTGTCATTGAGCAGACCAAAGATGGTTGACATTGTTCATCTACAAAATGGTGACAGAGACAGCATAATAAGCCCTTAGAGGGAAAAAAAACAGCATAATTTCACAACACAATGGTAATCTGCTAGTGTTGGTGCTGCTTTGACGTTTTTAGACATAAATATTGTGATCTCCTGATTGCAACAGAGAAATACAGGGAAATTACAGGGATAATTACAGGGATATAATACAGGGAAAATACAGGGTAATCTTAAAATGTAACTAAAATAATTTATTTTTTCATTACTTTAAACACTATGCTTGAGAATCATTCAAATACTAGCTCTACGTTGATGTTGTTGATGTAGCAACGGTTTCTGCTGTTCTGACATCAGCTGCAGATGTAAAGGAATGGCCGAAGAAAGTAGATTTTGAGACTCTTTGTTTGACTTTCTTTTTATATACACAGTTATGCCTTTGAACTGTTGTATAAATGCAATATCATACTCGTAGCAATGCGATGTGGCTCTATATCGTCACTGGTAGGACACTGCGGCCTCATGCCAATGCAAGCCTTCCACCAGTGCCAATATACAGCCACATCTCACTGCTACTCGGGTGATAATACATATATATATATATATATATATATATATATATATATATATATATATATATATATATATATATATATATATATATATATATACTTATTTCTAACATTGAAATATTATAAAAAATATGAAACACAAAAGACTTCTGAGTATTTATACCTTGAATTACCATAACGGTCAAATTGACCACATGCATTTAAGCCTTTATTACTTATTCCCTTGCCTTATATGAATGCATCAGTTGATTACCAACTTCCTGCTAACAAAAACATCACTTTCTATAGTTAAACCCTAACTTTTCATCCGACATGTCTTTGAAAACAACATATTAAGTGCTATGAATGAATGTGAATGTAAATATGACATGACAATATGACGTTATGACGTCTTATATGCAAATGGTCAGAATGACAGAAATGGCCATTCCAGAAGTTATTCAGCTAGTTCCAGTGTAAAGCTGAATCTAAGCAGAGCCTAAATCATTGACTTAATAAAGACAAGATTTGTTTCATTTACCTCAGTCACGTTAGGCTTTTGGGAGTCAGGTGTCTCTTGTTTCACATCCAAAGAAGGTGACATGGATGCCATGGTGTAGAGAAGTGTTTCATGTCTCTGCCTGCATTGCAACAGGGAAAGCATTTCCTTGCTTGTTAGGCCAGGAGGGTTTGGATTGCGGGTACTTGTACACCATGAAGAATAGACTGAGTTTTGTTGTTCACTCTGTATGGATGGATTTGGCTTTATGTAGTTTAGAAAGCACCAGCTAAAAGTTAGATTCGTGTTAAGAGTCTGAAATGGGGGATCTTTGTGTTCAGTTGGGAAGATGACACTTTGCTCACCCAGTATTTCCTCCTTTTTGAATTCAATCAAAACCTTATCATCTCTCCTTTCATTTTCCTGGTTTTCTTCCTCCTCTTTTACTCGTTTCTGCTGTTGTTCACTTTCTGGGTTGAGTTCATTACTGCTTGTGGGCGACAGGACACGTTTGGTTGCTCCAACACTTACTGAATCAGATCTTTCAGAATCTGGTTGTTGATCCATAATTTCATACTTTGAGACCACTGCAACTGAACTGACTCCAGAGCAACAAGGTTCCTGGGGCCTTGAAAAAAATGTTTGTGAAACTGTTGTATAAATAGAGCCTGCATGATATGGAAGGTGTGAATTAAGACGGACTGGAATACTCTGGGCTGGTAAAGGTCTTAGTACTTCTGGGTTTGAAGTAACATCAAAACCAATATTCTGATGCTGGTGACAATGAGTGATGTATGGTTGGTCCTTTTCCATGGGAATTTCAAGCTTGAGTCCTGTTGACATTGAAGAATAATGAGCTCTGGCAGCACCTGATGGACAAATCAGACTTCCCACGGTAGTGGGGTGGTCAGTATGAATCACTGGGGTCAGCTGCAATGTACTCAGCTGGGTATTCTCTGATAAAACATCCTGTGATTTCATGATCTGCTTCTCACCAAATGAATGTACAGTATTGCTTGAAGACACGTGATGAGTGGATGGGCTGTAGGAGGTGACTGGGCTATGGCTAGGTGACGTGCTAGTCCTACAAGTGGGAGAGCTGGTGTTGAAGACTTTGGTAGTTTGGTCTTCCTCCTCAGGTTCCCTCACGGCACTGTGCCTCAATAGAAGGCATTTCCGCCTTTCTTTCCATCCTGCTGGGGTCCGATCTGGAGACAAACTGCTATAGTCAAATGATTTACTGCGAATCTCTGTAATAAGGTTAGCAGTTTGAGGTATATGAGGTGCCTGCTCAGATGCAGAGCGCCTCATTTCTCTATGAGAATTTATGGGAACTGTCAAAGTATGAGTGGCTCTTGATCTCCTAGTTGGTGTCAAATCTGCATCAGCTTTTCCAGCTTCTTCAAAAGAAGTTGATCTACTGGAATTGTGAGATGTGCAACTGTCTTGACTTGGACTGTGAGGCAGGGACATTGATTCAAAGCTTGAATCCCCTGAAGACTGTGCTGCTTCTGCAAGACGAAGACGTTTCTTTTTAGGTGGCAACTTCTCAATTGGAAGTTGGGCCAAAGTTGGACTTCTCTGAGGCCACTGGAACTCACTGACTTTTTCAGTGTCCTTCATTTTAGGGACAATCGGAGGGGGTGAGACTGCCATGGCTTCCGTGTTTGAATCTTCTGTGACCAGAATCTCTGGTACCTGGACATTTTGTTGGCGTACAAGTTTACGGAAGGATAGTTTAGTTGCTTGCTGCTTTGTCTGTGGATGAGGAGAAGTGTGGGAAACACCATGAGTGTGAGAGGGTTCGTCCGTTTTACTATTATCATGTTTCTCAAATGAACTGGTATGCTGAATGACAGATATTCCTTTCAAAGAACCTTCTGTGCAGTATTCTTGACCTAGTTCATGTGTCCTTTTAATAGGTTGTTCACAAGATGGTGCATACCCTCGCAGTGGTATATAAGAGACTGAGGGTAAAGAAGGATCTTCAAATTCAATACTCTCTTCTTTTCTTCTTTTTCTAAATGCAAAAGCACCAGAACGGGATGTAAATGTTCTTGTGGATTCATCTACTTGATAAACAGGAATTTCAGATTGTTGAGAAATATGAACTGTGCAACAGTGTTGTTTGTGTTTTTGATATCTCTCCACGTCATTACAAACAATACGACAAGCACCGCACTCAAATTGCTCTTGTTTCTGGCTGGGATCAGGCATTGTAGTAACTGGGTGATGAAATGATGAGGTGGAATAGGATTGTTCCTCCATTGTTAATTCAGCGCCAATTGGCAATTCAATTGCAGGCTGTCGTCTTAGCATTCCATGGCGCCGATTCTGAATTGGTTGCGGGTCATCAAAGGATTGGCTAAGGCGAAGGCTACGGGAAGTTTCAGACACGTCACTAGTACTTGCATCTGAGGGCATGGAGTGACTTCTCAAAAGAGGAGCAGTGGATGTTGATTCAGTTTGTGGGATACTAAGAGAATGATGTTGAAATTTCTCACATGGTACACCAAGAGTGATGGAACCACTACTTTTTGCACTTATGTCTATTTCTTTTGGACTGTGAAGAAATGGCTCTTTGGAAGAGACTACTTTCAATTCTGTGCTGCTTCTCCGAGAAAGTGAGAACCTTCTGGGCTTGACACTGTCAATCTTACTGGTGTCAACAACAGCCTCATTTATGGTGATGAGTTTAGTGATGTGGTCAATGACTTGCTTTTTGGGAACGTTAAATGGAATTCTTTTCCCTTCTTGTCCAGCAGGATGGGCATGTTGTTGATGAGAAGTCCTCTGCAAATGACCAAGGCGACCAAACTTTCCAAGGATGACTTCTGCATAGCTTTTTGCGCTTGTGTTTGGTGGACTATCTTGAGAGACTTCTGTGCTCTCAGATCGAGAGAAATAGCCGGACTCTGTGCTACCTTTGCTACTTTGACCAAATGATGAGGATGCTTCATCAGATGATCCTAAAGGTGTACGTCTTCCTCTGCTAAGTCGCATTGCAAGTCTCTTCTTAACTGCATGAGAGTCCTCTATTTCCTGTAACTGACCCTCAGAGCACCTTTCTGTAGCACTTGAGTTTTGAACTGACATCCTTTGTTTTTCTAAATAAGAAGATGGTTGGCTTTCTTCATCTGAATCTGTAAGTGGTTCCTCTGAACAACTTATACCTGGTCCCTCCCTGTCTGCAGTCAGACCAGCCTTCACCCTATGAGTGTGGGACTTTCGGTGCTTGTAAAGGTTACTTTTAGTCTTGAAGGAGAACCCACATGGTGCACAAGGGTAAGGCCTCTCTCCAGTGTGGGATCGAATGTGTTTCTGAAGCACACTGGGCTTAGCACAAGCACGGCCACAGTATGAACACACATACTTTCCTGGCTTTTGAGGTTTGCGCTCACGCTTTTGTCTTGGTGTACCTTCCAAGACCTCTTCCATGGAACAAGAGGGTTTAGCTGATACTGCTGAGGATGAAGCTCCAGATGGCATTTCTCTAGCCTGGCTCATGTTAGCATTGAGATGTTCAGAACTACCTGATGCCCTCGGTGGCTTTCCCTCTTCAACAACATCTCTCTCCTGAAGAGATTTCCTCTGTAATCGGAGCCGTTTTCTTTCAATATTAAGATGTTTCCGCTGCTGTGCATGGTGCACCTGGGTGACAACCTTTTTCTCTTCATGATACTGTGGCTTAGGGTTATCCACTGGGGTCTCATTCTGCTTTGCTAAACCTCCAGATTGCTCCCCAGTGGTCGCCTGGCTATGCAAAGCCTCCATAAAATGGGATGAAAGCCTAAGGTGCTATTTATTCCAGACTGTATGAATGACCAATTGATTCAATGAATTCAGAGAACTGCATAATACCTTGTTCCATTCAACATACGCAAGGGTTTTACATGTTGGTCATAGCTGAAATGTTCTGTATGCATTATTGCTTGATGGTAGAAGAGCTTCTTCCAATGAATTATATAAAACACAGCTACAACTTATCAGTTAAAGTGAAAACTTTTGTCTGTCCTGTTTCTTGTTCTTTCTTGTTCTTAGAAATCCAAAATAGCTAGGCTTTTCCATGAATGCTCTGTCTGGTTCTCAATTTCTGTGTTCTGCAGATGCTTTATGTTCCAAATATGGTTGACAGATGATCCACTTCAGAGATTGGAATTCTAGAAAATACCAGAAAAAAAAAGAATTAGTCAGACTGCAATAAACTGCTATTGGAATACAATACACACCACTTTCTGTATTAACGTGTAATACTCAAATAGCTCTAGCTCACAAATAGACTACTCGAGAGTACACATGTGAACACTTGAAAGCAGTCCTGTTCCATCACACCAATTTTATTATATTGTTTTTTTTTCCTCAACACTGGAGAAAGACTTTTACATTTTAAAAAATATATATAATAGGATTAAAGCTAACCTTATTTTTGTTTTCTCAGATTCAATCTCAATAAATGGCAGAAGTACAGTTTAACAGAGTGAGAATTACAGATTCTTTATAATGTTTAACAAAATCCTAATTTAAGATAGCACTGATGTTTGTGAAAACACACTCTGACACTGCTTTCACAAGAACACAATAAGGAATTAGGCATCCCACTCACTGACCAGCTGGTATTGGCACCCACGCTTAGCTTTAGGGGGCGGCTAGGTGTGGAACCACAGGAGATCCTGCTGGTACATATGAAAATGAGTGCCAACTATACATTCCAGCACAATGCTCTTGTGAATCCAACTCTAAGTGTTCACAGACTTCCAATTATAGTGGAAAAAGAACATACTGATGAGTGTATTATTATGGACAGTAGATAATATGATAAGGGATGAGTACTTTCAAATACCCCCAAAAAATTGATTGATGGAAAATTAACCAACACCACTGAAAACCTAAGCAAATCTTCAAGTTTTAACAAAAAATACTGCGGTTTGAAGACTTCAAAACAGAAAGGTTGAAACAATAAAATCTAATCCTAAAAAACAAGTGACTTAGCTGCATTCACATGCCATTCTGTGGTTTGCTGGGTTCGATGAGCATATGTAGGTCGAACGGATAGTGTAGGAGGCCTAAAACATGGTGGTTGTCTGGACTTGGATGTGAGTCAAGCAAGCATTCATCTCTCTAGAACCACCTGTTCTGTCCTCCCACTCAAAAACACTGGCGACCTTGAATCACAGACTGCAGTGGCACATCATAATGACTCATTTTAGCTCAGGCACAGTTCTATAACTGTTCTGCAATTCTGTATTCAAACTACACATCTCCTTTCTACAGAGAGATGTATCTGTCTTCACTGAGCTGGTTTGCAAACAAACATGTTCTGGATTAGGAGTTAGGATTAGAATTTTACTGGAAACACAAGAGAAAATTTTAAAGCTAAACTCATAAAATCTCTGCAGGTAATCATGTTGACTCACGATGGTACTGCAGACAAAGCAAAGGGGATCATCTGTACTAAACTGAAAGTGAAAATATCCGATTTGTGACACCTGTGAGCATTTTACAATATTTTATAATGAGGTCAATGACGAGTCTTACCAATCCACAGTGTAACCCTGCCAGCTTCAAATGGTTAGAAACCGGGAATAAATCTTCATCCTCACGAAACAGAAGCTTTACACTGTACTTAACCAAATCTAAAATATGTTGTTTAAATACGTTTAAGAAACCTTGCCAATTTTCCCTCTCACACACTAATGGGCACCCAGTGGTGGTTCCTATGGCAACGGCCCTAAACCATGCAATGGCAGATGGAAGCAAAGCTGGAGGGCTAAATTTATCTCCCAGCATCCTCCCTGACTACAGAGTGAGCGCCTGACAAGCCAAGGTGCCCCCCTTCTTTCCAAAAATCCTCATCTCTCTAGACAGGAGGTGATGGACAAGGAAAAAAAACAATACCAGAATCTATTATGTTCTTACTTAGATTTAAAAAACAAACAAATGAAAATCATATTCACGTTAGCATAACAAGCTGATGCACTCATATTAAATAAAACATTGAATAAAATGCTCACATATATGGTCATCAAATGTACAATAAATAAATAAAACAGTATCAGAATCATTTGTTTTCCTAGGGTGCTTTCACATTTGGTTTAACTGCCCGGACCAAACTCAAGTTCGACTGTCCCCCTTGCCACCTTCTCGGCTGGTTTGTGTTCACACCGTCTTTTTTCCTTCTGAACCCCACGATTGCATCATCAAGCTGCTGTTTTGTGTACAGCTGTTGCTAGGTGATTGCCACGAAAGCAAAGCGCCAAAATGAAGACGTTCCCATACAGTAGGTGAGAGTTCAAAGTGGCTATTACCGTCGGAGCATATAACGCCGCCGTTTGAAATAGCTGCTGCTCTGTTTTAAGTGTATGACCGCAGTTTGCGAATAAGCTGCCAGGGGGCGCAAAGGGACGGGATGCAAACGGACAGAAATAGCCTATACAGCAGCTTTAAATATGCTACTGTGCTTGTAAATGAGATTAAACAATGTCAAAGCATTATAATTCCTTCATTAATCATTTAAAATCTGTTAACATGCTTTATTGATTGCGGTATGAATGGCGTCAAAATTAACACATTGAAGTAGTAACATCTGTTCAGAGAGCCACTTGCGTCTATCTTCCGCAAAAAAAAAACATTAAAAACGTTCTGAACATCACCGTTTTTGGGGGAGACAAGCAGACATTATCTCTGTTTGCATTGCGTCAGTCTCGCTTGTCACCAAGGTAGGTGATACACAGACATACACATTAACTTTGTTGTACAGTTTGCGGTTCACTTCAGTTATTTGGTACGATTGCGTTCATATCAGAAGTGAACGGTACCAGAGTTCACATGATCTGTACCCTAGACCAACTCTTTCAAGCAGACTCAGGTATGGTTCACGGCTGCACACCCGAGTTCAGAAGACACGTTCACACTAACTAAACGCACTGTACTTTGACGTCAAATGAACTCCGGTGCGGGCCAAAAGTGCTAGTGTGAAAGCACCCTTACTTACATACTAATTAAATCATATTGAAATCATTATTCAAATTAAATTATATTCAAATTAAAAGTACAATAAATAAATAGAACAGTATCAGAATCTATTGTTTTTTTACTTACATGCTAATTAAATCCTGTTCAAATTAGCAAACCAAGATTAAAAACTGCACTAGCATGGCTCATATTAAATCAAACATTACATAAAATGCTCAAATATGTAGTCGTCGAAAGTAATAATAAGAATAAACACATCAAGATCATATTTCAGAGCAACAATTGTTCTATCTGCAGTTACTGGATGCCCCCCCAACATAAAACCTGTCCATATAACTTCCCATTGCATAAACATTACTCATGCAGATAGAGATAAACAACACAAAGCATCTCTGCTCTGCAGTCATTCTGCCTCGGCTGATGCACTAAAAAACCTGTGTCAGGCATTCTAGATAAGCTGCCTTCTCCCTATACATCTATTCATCCCAGTCTCTCCAGTGCACCTTTTAATATCAAACCATCAACCCAAACCCAGTGACTTTCATCCATCTATCCACCTCGTTCATGTCCATGTCCAGGGATTTAAATTTCCCCTCCCTCCATTGAAAGAGCCCTGGGCCACCCCCGGCATCCATCCGCCCCGAGTCTCATTCATACGGCAGCAGCGTAAAGGAGGACACATACGCAGTACAGTCAGTCCATTCATCCTCTCTTTCCTTGCCTTCTGTACTGGCAGCCATTTAAACACACACACACACACACACACACACGCACACACACACAGTACACTACAGGCTGCACACAGCAGACTCAACGTCAGCCAGTACACACTGTACTACCAGACATATATAACTCTTACAATTCAGAACAAACATAAACACAATCAACACAGTAAGCTGAACACCCTTAAAGACAAGCAGCATCCTGATGGCATTAATGTGAGCTCTGCAGGCGTGGTTGTTGTGTTTGAAATCTGGTGGTCAAGCAGATTAGACTAGTAATCAACAATGTGTTTTACCTGATAGCTGCAGGTCTCCTCTTCAGCCTTGCTAATATGTGAGAGCGGTCAGGTTTTGAGTGAAGGCTGTGAGGCTGAGAGCGAGTGAGTCATAGGGAGAGAGAGAGAAAGAGAGAGAGTGTGTGTGTGTGTGAGAGAGAGGCTGAATGTATGAATGAGCTGCCGTAGTTTAGCGCGCTAACCGTGAGGCGAATGGGAGGTGAGATTATGCTTCGTGTGTGACGATGGATGCACATCTATGAGCAGGGAGGTACAGATAACATGTATTGAAGCCAAATGCGTCATATTTTAGGGAATATTTCCAAAATTCAGCATGTTTACTTTACCACATTGGGTGATTATTGCTGAATTGATGCAATAGATGTTTTTATTTTTTTATTTTATTTTTTTTTATGAATGTTGCCACTTTCTTTTTCCAGTGACGCATGTACTAGTATGTTCTAGTATGTACTGCCCACTTTTTGCAATCCTATCAATTCCCAGCACGACAGGAGGGAGAACAAGTCTCAATCTACTTTATTTTCTCACATAATATTTGCTTTACTCAGCATCACAAAAAGCAAACAGGATGGTAGCGCAATGTAATGAGTTGTAATGTTATGAAAAAATTCCTGCCAGGTTTAAGTCTAGCAAATGCACATACAAAATAAAATGAATTGCCAAAAATAGCTCAAATAAACACAATGGCTTCATGTATTTTTGTTATTTTTGTGCTCGATTTTTAAAGCTATCAGATAACTGATTTTGATATTGTTCTCTTAGACTTATGAATCCTGAATTTGTTTGTCCAGAAAATATTAAGAAATGTAGTATGCTTATTTTGTGTAAAGTGTGCAATTGTTATAATCATGAAAAAAGAACTGTTTTAGTTTGACTTAAATTTAAATTATATTTTCTTAAGAAAGCTTTGTAAATGAGGTCAGAAAACTTACATTACAGGGGACCTATGCCTTGTTTTAAAATGTAAATTAAGTCTCTGATGTTACTAGACCAGGGGTTTTCAACCTTTTAAGACAACCCCCACCTCCCAAAATCTCGCCAATTTTACTAGCGTGTTTAAAGTGTGTAGCATTAATTACATTCATTCATTCATTTTCTTTTCAGCTTAGTCCCTTTATTACTCCGGGGTTGCCACAGCAGAACGAACCAAAACTTATCCAGCACATGTTTTACACAGCGGATGCCCTTCTAATCGCAACTCATCCCTGGGAAAGCATTAATTACATTCAAACATAAATATAGCTTAACTGATTCAGTTGTGAAGGCTGAGCCTGTTGCCTGTTTCTGTATGGACAACTTGGTTGGATTCCTGACATGACTAACAGTAAGTCATCTTCCGCTGTAATTAATTGTGTACCATACAGTGTTGGAAGTAATGCGTTACAAAAGTAATTTATTACAGTAAAGTATTAATTTTTCCTTTAACGCAGTAGTGTAAGGCATTACTAATAAATTTTCAGTAATATTTTACTCGGTACAACAACCTTTTTGCCAGCAAGACATTAACAAATAAAAAATTGTGCAGTTCTATTTCCTGTTCATGGCTAGTGAATATAAGTGTTTGTTGTCATTAATCTCCCTCTGGCTATTGGAACTTTTTAATTTGAATATGGAATGATTTCAGCTTCTGAGTTTGAGGTCTGAGGCTATTGGCTCACCCCAGTTCGCAATAACATTAAGCACAGTGAAAAAGCGGCAAATAGATGAAAACGGCAAAAGACAGTACATTTGCGAGATGGACGTACGTTGTAAGCACAGTATTAAAGCTTGGTTTATACTTCTGCGTCAAGTGATCGTCATGACCCACGGTACATGCAACGCGGGTAGCTGTGCATTCATACTTTTGAGCACTGTTTCTGTTGCTCTGCAATAACACTTCCCAAACGCTAGCTGGCAGTGAGGTGTTTATGTTCCTCTCTGTCGAGTTTCTTTGCTGTTTTTTTTTCTTTTTTTTTTTCTGAACGCTTAATGTACAAATGGTTCAAACTCGCTCATTTTGAGACAGGAACTGGGGGACTTGCAACAACTTTAAGCATAAGGTATACACATAACAAAACATTCCATCCAAAGCTATTTCACGGGACATGACACTTGTAAACAGTCGCTCCATCAGGCTCGCGCGGCTTTCAGTCTCAGACACACTTGTAAGCGCTACCAACCCGAACAATCACAGAGCTTGCGCTACGCGTCGTTGCGACGTGTAGTTACATTTTTTGAGAGGTGCGCGTCAGTGACGCCAACGGCCACGGCGAGGGCTATGCATCCACGCATAGGCTGCGCCCTAGCATACGAGAAGTATACATCATTGAGCTGCGGATCCATTTAAATATTTGATCTCTATGCAACAGTTTGGAAGTAACCTTTATAACACTGGTGCCATAGCATACTTGCTTTTGATGTGCGTACATACAGAAAATGCTGCTTCACAAAGCCAAGTTTGCAGTTGAGTGGTTGTGTGGTTGAGTTGAACATTGATCACATTTACATGGACAATAATACTTTAATAGATTTTCATACAATTAAGACAATACTTTGATTAAGAGACACCCTTGTAAACAGCGATTTTTAAATGCCTTAATACGACTAAGTCATAACTGAATTAGTAAACACTGCAATCAAACTATTACCATCATGTAGAACTTTTCGCCATATTTTCCCACAAGATTGCAGACGCACACAAGACGAAATGCGGAAGTTTTTTTTTTTCATTCGGCATGCGTTATTAAATTCCATGACACTCTTCCACCAATCCTTACTCCTTGCGCCAATACCACAGTTTGTCATGGGGGCATGAATGAAATGATCATGAGTGAAAGTGAAACTGCCGAACTACAGTTAAAGTCACCCAAAATTACTTGAAACTCTTACATGAAAGCACTTCACCTAAACACCTTGTAGTAAAGTTTGTTCGGATTGTGGGAAGAAGGGTCGGCAATATCAGGTAAGCACAACTGTTCATTTTATTTAGTGTAGTGCTGGTTGCTGTGTGTGAATGTGTGTGAGCTCTCCTATCTCTCGGCTGCTCATTCTCCTCCTCTTATGAAGCTGTCTCTCCAGCCCAGTCACTAGAAAATACAGGTGTTACTGATTATTTATGAATGGACCACTGACCAGCCACCGGTGTCTCCGCATGCTCTCCCCCCTTTTTGGGTGTTCGATCATGCCTTCCCCACACACACCTTAATTATATTACTGCCTATTAAGGCAAATAACTAGATAATAGATGGCCATGTAAACATAGTCAGTAGTGTCTTCAAAGTTAGTGAAAGTTCCAGAAGGGATTTGATTTAGAAAGCCACTTTTTTGTCAGACGGCTTACCGGTTTTACTTTCATTCACTGTCATTTGTTTTAAAAAGCACCCAGTCCATTTTGTTTGTATGTTTTACTCAAACGTATTAACTCTACATGTGCCTGATATGTGCCTTAGATGTGGAGCTTACATTAATCATCAGTTTCACTCTACTGAACACATAAAAATCATTATAATAATTTTCTCGAGGCCATGCCTCAATTTCTCATTCACCATCCCCCCACCGTTTGAAAACCTCTAACCTAGAGTGTATGTGAAGTTTCAGCTTAAAATACCTATAAATACCCTCAAATGTATATAACTTTTTGAAACTGCCCGATTTAGACATTGATCCAAATTGTGCTGTTTTGTTGACTGTCAATTTAAATTCAAATAAGATGTGCTCTTTTCAAAAGAAGTGGAACTACAAACACAAGATTTATAACAGGACTAATGTTCACTCTGTGAAAAACTAAAAATTAAAAAAAAAAAAGTGGCTCAGAAAAAAGCAGTCAATGAAGACTGCAGTGTTCATTTCTGAAATCTAAAATTTTACATTTATGATGCCTCTTAGGGTGCTTTCACACCTAGACGTTTGTTTCAGAACCTATTAAGTACCCCCTTGGCTCAGTTCGTGGGGCATAAACAGTGTTGGGACAGTGTCGGGCGGCTGCTTCTCACTCAGGACTGTCTATTAGGGATGGGAAGATTAACCGGTATGTATCGATACGCGGTCATGCGCGTGCACGATGCGAGTGCATCGGTAGAGCAGCAGAGGAAAATTGAAATTTTGGAAGCAAATCGAGATGCATCGGTTTTTGCGAGATGCATCGGTTTTTCCAAGATACAACTTATATTTTTATTATAGAATGTGTTTTTTTATTTATTAACAAGTGTTTTCAACCTGTTTTTGGCGCATAATTTAATCAACCTACATAAAGTATGCCTTAGCAACGGACTTGCGGATGTGTACACTTACACTACAACTCAGTGTATCAGGTGTGCGGATGAAGCTAGTGGTGCGCCCTCAGAAAGCGCGAGAAGCAAAACAAACATTTTATTCCCCACTGAGTTTTAAATCTAAAGTATGGCAACATTATGGATTTAAGGATGGACGACTTGACAGGACAGATGCAATTTGCAAAATGTGCCGCGCATCTGTAAAATACACGGGCAGTACGACTAATCTGAAATCTCACTTGAAGCGGCGCCTTGGTGTTGTTGTGGAAGCATCTTCCAGTGTTCCTGCATCTCCGGCTTCCTGCACTGCTTCAACTGTAGCTACCAGCTCCAAAAGTGGTGAGAAAAGCATTGAAAGTTTTTTTCCATGCGCAACAGTTTTGTGGGCTCTACGCCAATAACGGATGTTGCATTGTTCAACTGCAAAGATATTCAGCCTAGTGTCACGGAGAACGAAGGTTTTAAATACCTCCTCCTGTTAATTTGTATTTAATTATATTTTTATCAGCCTGTTGTTTACAGTGATAGTGATGTTTCAAAGCAGCATAACACTGCTAGTTCACCACCTTAAGTTTTGAATATTCAGTGGTACAATATATCTTTGTAAAACTTGTTTTCATAGTTGAAAAGTTAAATCACAACCTTTATGTTGAAAGAGTGCAAATATATATATATATATATATATATATATTGTCACAACCAGCGATCGCTCCCCAGAGGATCGCTGGTTCTCACACGAACTCAGGACTTCATTTCCGCATTCCCCAGGACTACACATTCATACATGCACTGCTCCCAAACACACACGCCTGCTCACTCATGTATCCTGATTGCAAGCACCAGCTGAGCCTTGTTCACAGACTGATTACATCCCATTCATAAGCCACCCTCTCACGCTACCAGGTGGCCGAGTCTTGTTCTCCCAGTAACATTACAACGCGTTTCCCTGTCTTGTTTCTCCGTGTTTCGATCTTAGCCTTGTATCCCAGTTATCCTGTTTAGCCGCCTGCCTTTCGACCTTTTGCCTGTTATATTGACGACGATTCTGGACTGCCTTAATATACCTGTTTGCACCTGATGACCATTGCTTGCCTGACGTTTGAATAAACTGCATATTGGATCTTACCTCCTGTGGTCTCCTGTCACTCCACCCCAGTCCTGGTAACAGAAGACTCGGCCAGAACATGGATCCAGCGGGTATTCAAATCATGCGCCTCCGTCAGGATGCCCGGTCAATTGAGGAGTACGTGGAGAAATTCATTGAACTTTCACATCTGACATCTATGAGTGAGTTATGTTTAATGATTTTCTTTCGCGGAGGACTTGCTGAACCACTGTACTCCTACATGCCACTGCACAATCCCCACTGGACACTGGCACAATTTATCGATCTGGCTCTCCAAATGAGTGGATCTTCGTTCACCATAGGAGAGGTGGACGAAAATCCAAATAATCTTTTGGGGGGGGGGCTGTAGAGAGCAAGACCCGCTGGCTACGGGGCTTGCGACCCATTGTCCAAAGCCAGCTCACAAGATGGCCGCTCCCAGCCAGCTAGATCACAAGATGGCTTCCTGTTCAAAGTCTGTTCCTGCTCCTGAAAGGCCAACTCCAGAGCTGCCATTCCCTCCAGTGCTGCCAGTCCCTCCAGTACTGCCAGTCCCTCCAGTGCTGCCAGTCCCTCCAGTGCTGCCAGTCCCTCCAGTGCTGCCAGTCCCTCCAGTGCTGCCAGACCGTCCAGTGCTGCCAGACCGTCCAGTGCTGCCAGACCGTCCAGTGCTACCAGACCGTCCTGTGCTGCCAGACCGTCCAGAGCTGCCAGACCGTCCAGAGCTGCCAGATCCTCTAGAGCTGCCACCGC